TTTAACTTTTATTTAATTGACAAAAGTACAAAGAAATGATTTCCAAAGTTTTCACTGACCAACGTAAATGTATTTTGTAAATATGAACAAATTTTAAATTTTGATGGCTGCAACACACTCCAAAAAAGTTAGGAAAGAGGCATGTTTAACACTGTGTCACATCAACCTTCCTTTTAATTACAATGTTTCATTGTTTGGGAATTGAGGATACTAATTGTTAAAGTTTTGCAAGCAAAATTTTGTCCAGTCTCGCTTGATACAAGACTTCAGAAGCTCAGCAGTGTGTGATCGTCGTTGTCTGATTCTCCTTTTCGTGACTGGTCATACAATTTCTATTGGAGACATCCACTCTGTCTCTACGAAACCATGGTATTGTAGCACATGCAGAATGAGAGCTGGCATTGTCTTGATTTAATAACCATGGACTTCCCATGAAAGACATAATCTTGATGGAAGTATATATCTCTGTACAATCCCAATATATGCCTCCATGTCAATAGTACCTTCGCACATATGAGCCATGATCCAGCTTTGCTTGCAAAGACTGAGATGCTCCTTTTATACCCAAACATGATACCCTGACCTATTACCAATTCACCTGCTTACTGTGAACTGTTTCAAAACAGTTTGCCTCCATGTCAATAGTACTTTCGCACATATGCCAGTCACCCATGCTGTTTGCTCTGCTGCACCCCCATACCATGACAGACGTTTGTGTTTGCTTCTGTTGCTAATGAAAGTCTGGATGGTCCCTTTGGTCTTTGGGACTGAGAACTCAAAATCCATTTTTTCCAGAAACAAGTTGAAATGTGAACTCATCTGAGTACAGCACACATTTTCACTGTCGTTTTGACTATCTGAGATGAGCTCTGGCCCAGAGAACCCGGCAGCATCTCTGCAAGCTTTGCTTGCAAAGACTGAGATTGTCAATTAAATAAAAGTTAAAGAGAATTAACAAAATCACAGATTCTTGATTTTATTGCATTTTACAAAACGTCCCAGCTGATCCTTCAGAAATCATTCTAATATGCGGATTTATTATCAGAGCTGGAAACTGTTGTGCTGCTTAATATTTGTTTGGAACATGTGATGCTTTTTTTCAGGATTCTTTGATGAATAAAAAGTTAAAAATAAATTGTTAAGAAGTGATAGCAAAGATTTATATAGTCAAAAAAGATTTATATTTTGAATACATGCAGTCCTTTTTATTTTTTTTATTCAACAAATAATCCTGAAAAAAGTACAGCAGTTTCCAAAAAAAAAAAATTTGGCAGCACAACTGTTGCCAACATTAATAATTCTAATAATAAATCAGGATATTAGAATGATTTCTGAAGGATCACGTGACACTGAATACTGGAAGCATAGGAGACTTCTTTAAAAAAAAACAGTCTTACTGATCCCAAACTTTTGACCGGTAGTGTATGTTCGAATTATAGATTTGATCCGTTTTATGTTTGTATTTGGTTCAGTATGTATAGCACTTTGGTCAGCCTTGTTTGGTTATTATAAATCTGCTTAAGAAATAAATTGAACTTGAATATGGAACAGCTCACCTGAGCAGATGACTCCAGGGTCTTTACTATGATCACAGCCATAAACATGCCATGGTGATGATCCACACTTCTTTAATGTAGATTCTGATCCCCTACAAAGGTCAAAACTAATTCAGATTGGTCCTGATCCTGGTCCAAAATGAGCGTTATACAGAGCATCTACAGGTTCTCCACAGTCCAGCTCTCTACACACCACTGCAGCATCAGCCAAATCCCAGCTATCATCACACACTGTTCCCCACTGACCTCTATGAAGAACCTCCACTCTACCAGCACAGCGACTGTTACCATCAACCAACCTCACATTCACATCTATTTGTTCAACAGATAATTAACAGACCAACATCAGAAAAAAGGATCAGGAGGACAGAGAAAGAAAAAAAAGAGAAAGAAAATAACAGCTCTAATAAATACACAAAATATAGATAATATATGGCAGTTAGACACCATTAAGCTGCAGTGAAATATTGTATATAAATGTGAGAGATGTGATAATTTTCCTCTGACTTACCGGCGTTGATCAGTTTTATCAGAAAGATCAGCATTAGACCGCTCTCCATCATCTTCTCCTGCTCGACCCACTATTTCATCAACGCAGCACAAGTTTCTCCTCTGCTCCCTCAAACACACTGAAGAAACTGGTTCCTGTCAGCCCCCTAAAGAAAGAACAAGCCCCAAAACTTTCCAATCAAGTTCATCATTACCTTATTAGACAGAACAGAGGAAACCAACAAAGAGCTTGAGTGACAAATCAGAGGAGGCATTTTTAATTTTTCACCATATACAGTATATCAAAAGGACGTCAGTGCTGAAAAGGACTCCTCCTCTTCCACCACTATGTAGAGCCTCTTCAGTGAAGATGCGCACACACACACTCCTGCCAAAGGAAAAAATAGTAGCACATCATACAGGAGACTTGAAAGATTGCAGAGAGGAAGCACTCCAGGATATTTACAGCATCAACACCTGCTGAGATACAGAGACTGATAACTGCTCACTTGAGACCTATTACCATATGATTTCCTCTTACAACAAATAATACAATAAGATTCTTTACTAATTTTTGACACCCAGCAAAACAGTTCTACAGCATAATGTGAAAACAGGTAATTATTCAATTTTCTCTATAGGTCTCTATAGAGCGGTCTATTTCACTATAGTGTTGACTGCAATCATTAACCTCAACCATTCAATCATGTTAACCAAACAATTAATTAAATAATAATTACGTTTAAAAATGACTTATTTAATTTATCAGAATCTAACTAAAAACCTCCCAAATTTAAGATAAATTTGCAGCCCTGTTACACAATCTGGCATTTTAATTATTGTTTTTTAATTTTACAAATTGCACATTCAGTTTTAATGTTATTGTTTTAAACTGGCAAACCCACACAAATCAGTATCTTAAACTGTAAATAAAAAGCTTTCATCCATTGTAGCAATTATACAGCAGCGCACGGAGGTAGTTGCTCTCAGCTTCCTTCAGCTTCCCATTAAGATGGAGGATCGCCCCGAGATTCATCAGAGCTGCTGGATGCTGGGAAATCAAGAAAGAGACACAGAAATAGATAATCAGGATAAAGAATTAGGTTTAAAAAATAAATAGAAAAGTAAATAAAACTGACATTCTAAAATAGCGACAAGCATGATGGAATACGGTGCTTTAATCTTAAAGAGCATATCATAAAATGAGAATTTTGTTATTAAATATTTAATGCATGTAAAAGAATCAATTCTGCCAGGGCACTTTATAACATGGCTAAAGAAGGTACTTACATCAGGTCTTAAATTAGCTGCCTTCCCATAATACCTTTCAGCTGCCTCATTCAGACTGGCCTGTCTGTGGACAAACACACACATTAAGTTATTATTACTACTTTATTAGTCATAAAATATCATATTACTATTTTATTATTATTATTATTATTAACAACAACAAGTGTTTGACGATATAAACTCAATATGGCCATTTGGCAAGTAGCTGTGGATGTGGATGAAACAAGTGGAGCCCACCTGCAAACCACCTGAAACTAAAATCGTGCAGATGTAGCTGTGAGTTTTTGAGAGACACACACACCTGAGCATATGAGCAGCACTGAACACCACGTCAAATTCCGAACTGTCCAGCTCTGCAGCTTTCTGAGCCATCGCTGCTGCCTCTCCCAGACGAGACTCTTCCAACAGAAACTGACCTGACAAACAAGAAAGAAAGAAAGAGGAGCTCACAGGATTGAAAACAACTCAAACACAGCAGGCCAGAAGCCCGCAGGTCGAACAGTCAGAGACCAGCGCAGATACGCAGCACAAGCTTCCAAAAACACACAGAGACAAAGAAAGGAAGTGTGGAGGATGAAGGACATGAGGCATAGTGAACCTCAGTATATAAAATCAGTATATAAAAATAATCATAATTGTAATAAATAATCATAATAAATTACAATATATAATATTCTAAAAGAATTCTAAATTCTGAAAACATTTATTTACATAAATTCTGTGTAATAATAATAATAAACAGGAAAAACAAACTATATTTAATAATAGTAATAATAATACATTTTATTAAAAAATAAAATAAATAAATGGTGGAATATTTAAAGACACTATCAAATAAAATGTCAAGTGTATATCAAAAAATATTTCAAAAAATTAGAAGGGAAGCAAAACAGTCAGAAAGGAAATCAGATTGTACCGTAATGCATATAGCAGTTTCCTCTAGCAGGATCCAGCTTTATTGCCTTCAGGAAGTAATGCTCTGCTTCAGACTTCTGTCCCTGTGGAGAAATTAAGAAATAATTACACCTGCACCCACCCAACATTATTAATGAAACGGCATAAAACTGCAAAGGAACAAAATCATTGGGGATGGTATAAATATACATATGGGGGCTGAAGAACACTAAAAACATTTTAGGACATCTCAATCCAAGCAGCATCTTCAAGAAATGGCTAAAAACACATCTCTTCCAACTACACTTGACTGTCTAACACTAGCACTCTCTATTCTATTTCTTTTTTATATAATTGTTCTTTTTATTTATTTAAAAAAACTTGACCCTCTAACATTTGCACTCTCTATTCTCTATTCAATTTTTATTCTAAGAACTTTTTTTATTAAAAAATATGACCTAACACTAGCATTCTCTTTGTTTTCTTTTTATTTAAAAAAAAAATGTTCCTCTAACGCGGCATAAAACTGCAAAGGAACAAAATCATTGGGTATGGTATAAATATACATATGGGGGCTGAAGAACACTAAAAACATTTTAGGACATCTCAATCTAAGCAGCATCTTCAAGAAATGGCTAAAAACACATCTCTTCCATCTACACTTGACTGTCTAACTAGCACTCTCTATTCTATTTCTATTTTATCTTTTTTTTTTCTTTTTTTAAATAATAAAAAAACTTGACCCTCTAACACTTGCACTCTCTATTCTATTTCTGTTCTAATGGC